CTCTTTATTCACTTTATCGAGCTTTTCCAATTTAAGTGTTCATCAAAAATTATTCCAAGTATTTTTATTGAAAAAACTAATTTTATTTTAATATTATTAACTGTTAGTTTTGGTAGTTTAAGTGGGAGATTTTCAGATTTAGATGGTTTAGCAAAAAAATATATATTTAGTTTTATCAGTATTCAATGAAAGATTATTTGCTATAAACCACTCATTAAGATATATTAGTTCCGTATTTACATAATGAAAAATATTTTTGAAACTTTAATCTAAATAAAAAACATTAGTGCCATCAGCAAAAATAATATAATTAAGTACTTTTGAGGACAAATAAATATCGCTTATATAGATTAAAAACAGCAAAGATCCAAGTATCAATCCTTGTGAAACACCGGAACTTATTGATTTAAATTGTGTTCATGTTAAATCATATGGTACTCCTTGTTTATAATTTTCTAAATAACATTACTGCAGCCACTTAAAGATAGAGTTAACTACGCCATAATTACGTAATTTATAAATAAGAATCTTGTGGTTAACAGTATCGAATGCTTTAGATAGATCTAGAATAGTTCCAAGTGTGTAACTATTGTTTTCAAAGCCATTCAAAACATGATTCGCAAGATCAATTATTGCATGTTCCGTGGAATGGTTTTTACGAAAACCAAACTGTTTATGATAAAGAATGTTATTTTTTTTCAGATAATTGTACAGTCTGTTATGCATAATACACTCTAGTATTTTAGAAAACAGGAAAGTATGGAAATTGGTCTATAGTTAGATTTTATTGAGTCATCGCCGCCTTTGTATGTTGGAACTATTTTTGTTAATTTTTATTGGTCAGGAAAAATGCTGTCTTTTAGAGAAAGATTAAAAATTATAAAAAGAGGTTTCTCTATAATATCTGAGACTTCTTTTACAATATCAGAGATAATTTCATTTAGTCCTGCATTTTTATTTGTTTTTAGTATTATTAATTTTTTGTAGGGTCATATCTCATGAACAAAACATTTTTAAGCATTGTAATTTTTTCTAAAGCTTCTTCGTACTAATATAATGATATAGATAAAAAATCAGCTTTTTTAAAAATGCCCATGCTGAGTTATTCTAAAACCAATATGGCGACAAAGGTAAAATATCTTAAAATAGCATGTATTTGAACCCCTCAAACTTAATGTGGGCAAATTTTTTAAATTTTTTTTAATTGCATCATTTAAATGAGCTTATTTTACACTTAAAAAAAGTTTAATTTGGTTAAATTTAGTTTATCACTAACATTAAATAGAATTATTAGAAAACGAAACTTAGAATTGAAAATAAAACAAATTTCAAGTATATCTACATCCTGATATGTCTGTTGAACAAAACTTAAGTATTTGTTGTATTGGAAAATTTGACAGAAGTTTATGTCATTGAAGTACTTGTTCGCGAAAATAGGGTTTTATTGACTTTTGCTCAGAACTTTTGATCGAGGAACAGAGTTTAATTGTCGGGCAAACTTATAATTTAATCAAAATTATTACTTTAATTTGTTTCATCTACAAAACACTGCTGTTGGTTAATACACGCATTTACAGCGTTTAAATCTTTTTAGTCAGGCTAATTATTGCTCAGTTAAAGGGTTAAGATGTATTGACCTAGAGACTGCAGTCTTTTAAAAGTAGCGAAGTCATTTGACCATATCAAAAATTATGTCCTAATTGCCGCAAAGCTTATTTAACTACAAACTCAAGTAAAAAATTTACGATATTGATGACATAGCTGATATATTATGTTTAAGTTACACTATTAATACTAGCCTTTCTGAGATTGGAATTTCATCTTTAAGAATAAAACGTGTTATTAAGAGAGATCATGCTAGTTATGTAAAAGGAAAAATGCAAATAACAATTGCTGAAAAAATAGCTGCTGTTTATGGTTTATAACCAAATAATAATGTCCTACCACTAAGCAGTGCCAGTGTGGAGTGTGAAAATTGCATTGACTAGTCAGTAATTAAAATCAAAAAGTTTTTGACAATTTTTGACAAGGAGGGTGGGGGAGGTCAAGATATATAAAAGTACAAGTTTTTGTACTTTTTTCAATAAATTTAGTAATTAAAAAAAAAAAATTAGGCAACGTTTGTATTCTTGTGCCACCAACTCACTCAACCTTCAATATTTTAATGACGCTAACTATATTTCCACTTTTTAAGTATTTATAAAGTACAGTGTTGTACTTTATAAATATTTCACACATACAGAATTAAATAAGAAAACACTAAATGTTTACTCGTAACACTTTTACTTTATTCAAAGGTTTTGTTTGTTTGTCTGCTTTGAAAACAAATAAAGATTTATGTAAGCACATAATCTGCATTATATTATTTAAATGTTTATACCAGGGGCCGGCAATCTGCTGCTCGCAAGCCAAATTTGATGTTAATATTTCGATCTTAAAATGTGGCTCTCCAGCTTCATGCATAAATACTAATATATTAGTAATTGTGCATGAAGATGTTTGTAGTTCTTTAAAAACTGGAAAATATTTATGAATAATAAACTTTGGCTCTTCCGTCTTAAAAGATTGCCAACCCTTGGTTTATACAAATTATCAATTGCATTATTTTGTTATACTAGACTCTATTAGAAATAGTTTGCTTTCAATGTGAAATTAGATTAGATCTAAAGTTAAAGTTAGGAGGATTGGCTCATTCACGTTTTGTGACTCTGCACTGTACATAAATTATGAAAAATATTATCTTGGACTAGGGCTACCGATCCGTCCGTTGCTTATTACCTGGGTAGCATTATCAAATGCTTCCCGTTATCCTAAATGACCTAAATGCTACCGTTATACATGCAAAATATATATATATAATTACAGATGGTTAATCATATATATATATACACATATATACACACACATATATATATATATATATATATATATATATATATATATAACAAATATTTATATATATATATATATATATATATATATATATATATATATATATATATATATATATATATATATATATATATATATATACACACACACACACATATATATATATATATATATATATATATACACACACACACACACACACACACACACACACACACATCTATATATATATATATATATATATATATATATATATATATATATATATATATATATATATATATATATATATATATATATATATATATATATATATATATATATATATATATATTAAGTTTACAGTTATTAATCATAATATAATAACTTAAAAATATAAACTCTTTATGTGAATGAAGTTCTTAAAGAACTTCATTCACATAACGAAAGAAGAATATTAAAATTTCAATAGTAACAATTCCTTTATCATAGTAAAAATTTTGGAAAACATCGAGGAATATTCTCCTTCATAAACATCGAGGAATATTCTCCTCCATAAACATCAAGGAATATTTTCCTCCATAAATTCCATAACTGAAACAAGTTTTTATTATTGGCTTTTATGATTGACTACTTCGATAAGTTGTGTAAATTTAGTTTTTTTTTTAACTTTCTATCATGCATTGTAAGAAGTTTGAACCAAAAGTGTTGCATGTAGTAATTACTTTTACTTCTATTCACTTTTTGTTCAGAGCAAGCTTTTGTTACATTTAAGAGTTATATATATTTAAAAAATTTTCATAAGTTAAAAGTTGAACTAATTTTATTTTTCTAAACATTTTACTTTTAATAATTTTTTTTTTAAATTGTCAACTATACTACGACTACTACTACTATTTAAAATGTTTTTTTTTTGTTGTTTTTTTTTTTCATTTTATTTTTTATTTTTCTTAAGGAGGAGGATAATTAATTGTAGACGTAATTTTATAGGGGGAGGGGATGGAGGAGGCGAGGTTAAATTGCTAGAAAATTGTTGACTTTATTCAACGTTATGTAACAACCATCTGTAAATTATGAAATATATATATTGTTTTTGCATGGATAACGGTAGCATTTAGGTAATTTGGAATAAAGGGTTGCATTTGATACTTCCCAGGTAGTAAGCAACGAAATATGGATGACTTGGCGCCAAACCAGCCTAAACAACGAATACATCTTCGTTGAAATGAGATAATTAAACGTTAAGTTTAAAAGTATTTAACAAAAGCCACTTAAGCAAAAAATTAAAACTAATTGCAGTTCAGTGCACTTAAAATTTTTTTAATATAGTTTATTGGTGCTTGCAAAGAAACACTACATGAATCATTTTTTAATATAAGTTAATATTTTTCAACTTTGTTGTATTAGCTGTTTAGTGCGTAACCATGAATATGTTAAGTTTCCGACTATATTCCTTAAAAAACCAACTACAACTTGAAAATTGTCTTCTTAAAGTGGTAGGGCTATAAAAAACAATTTTTTGTAGGTAGTAAAGGAGGATATAACATACACACGCGCGCGCATAGAATGGCCTCTGATTGCGCGATCTGCAACTTATATTATCACTATTACTTTGCTTAATCAGCTTCCGTATTTTATCTTTCATTTCATTTGGACGGGTCATGAAAATATATATTATTTTTAAGATTAATGTTATAATAACGTTGCTCCAACAGACGTAAAGAAAATTTTAGCATTACTAAACAACAAATTTCAAATATACGCACAGAAAAGAAATTGCTATCTCCAGAAGAAAAAATACCTTTCAAAAAGGCTCAACAAAATAAATTTATGTTGTACTAACTGTACTGTAGCAGTTTAAAAAGCTTGACAACGGGGGAAAAAAAAGACTGTAAAAGAAAGAAAAAGAAAGTGTTTTCTAGAAATAATTTAAAGGAAATAAAAAGAGCAAGTTTCTGACTCGCAACTTGTAAAAAACAAACAAATTGAAGATAATGTCAATTTGAGGGCTATGCAGATGCAAAGTTCTATTAGTGGAGAATGAGCGTGCTGTTATAAAAATAATAATAATAATAAGCACAATAAGTCAGAATCAAAAGAATGTTTCAAAAAAAAAAAAGAATATTTACCGAGAATATTTACGGTTACTGTTTTGAGCTTCAGAATTGTAAAGACAAAAATTGAGTAATCTACAGACAGTTAAGACAAAAATTGAGTAATCTACAGGCAGTAAAGACAAAAATTGAGTCTACAGCTCATAAATAATATATAATATAGTAAACTAAATTAAGTTATTGTTAATATCTAGTGCTATTAAAAAATCAGATATTCTGAATAACTACTCTCCATTTCTCGCCTCCTCGTCCATCACAACTTGGGTTATTAATTGAAATAACAAAATCAACACCATTTGGTTTAAAATAGAAAAAAAAAAGTTAAAAATTCTTTAACCATTTAGTAAAATCAGTTTAGCAACGTCTTTTTAAATTATAATCAGCTTAACCAAAGGTTTCAAATTAACTTAAAAGTTACTGAAATTTACAGAACATAGTACAATTAAAATCAACCAAATATTTTAGGATAAAATCAAGTAAATATTTTCTTATTATAATTGTTATTATTATTAATAACATTTGAATTAACATTAATGTATGTAAACTAATAGTTTATATATTTGTAATAGTGTTCTTTGTTCTATATTATGCTCGATATATTATTCAAATTATATTTTGATTAAAAAAGTTTATAATTATTAAAAAAACAAAAAAAACATAACAATTAAAAACTTACTGATGTCGACTGTTTACAAAAATGTTTTATGTATGTTGCACGTATTTTTATGCGTAATTTGCTTCTTTAGAATTAACAAAGTAATTTTTTAATCTATTAAAATCCTTAATAAGGTCTTTAAATTCTAATAAAAAAAGATATACATCCTAGATACCTTTATTTTTTAAATAAATCTAATAAACACTCTTAAATAACAGACACTTAAATAATTTTTAGTGTTATTGGCCTCTTAGGTATAGAGGTTTTATTTAGGTGGTTTTTTATATTAGTTTGTTTAATCACACAAAAAAGTAAACGACAATTATTTTTCAATAAAATAAAAGCGACGTAGCTATAATACAAGCTAGTTGAGCCAACTAGTAAACACAATAAGGTTTTTTACAATTATATGTAGAATGTAATTTTGCGGAGCTTTTTTTATGAAAGAGTTGCCTTCATTAACTCGTACAGACAAAGGCACAAATATACAAGTTTTCTAAATGAGTCAATTTAAATAATACAAATCACCCGGGTTACATTCTTAAACTTTTTAGAATACCTTAACGTTTCCCTATATCAGCATTAGTTTTTTTGTTTAAAATTGTTTTAACTGAATAGTTCTGCTAGCGTTTTTATTTGTCAAATACCTTCCTTAAAAATCTTTCGGATGCATACATTTATTAACTTTAAACGTTGCTAAGGTTACATGGCAAGTGTAACAAATTCTTTGGTATTTATAAGTATTTATACTAGTTTTTTTTTTTTTATTATGATTCTTTCTCAATTTAATGTTATAATGAGATCAGTGGGTACTTCGATTATGTGAAAGAGGGACATTATTTTTGTTGTTGTTGTTTAGAATTAAACAAACAAAACAAAAAAACAATGCCGTATTGCATAAATAACCAACTCGAGATGTTGTTTTCAGACAATTTTGTTTTTGTTTGGCAGTTTTTGTAGTCATGTTAATTTGGCAGTCAAGTAGAATTGTGGCAAAAAATGCAAAATGAATTTAAAATATTTTGCTTACATTTATATCATAAACTTTTTTGTAGTTTAATTTAATTAAAAACCTATTTACTTTTTTTATAAAAAGAAAATGTCTTTCAAACACACACTGTGTTTTAAAAAAACATTCATTGAGATGTTATATATATATATATATATATATATATATATATATATATATATATATATATATATATATATATATATATATATATATATATATATATATATATATATATATATATATATATATATATATATATATATATACATATATATATATATATATATATATATATATATATATATATATATATATATATATATATATATATATATATATATATATATATAGATATATATATACATATATACATATATATATATATATATATATATATATATATATATATATATATATATATATATATATATATATATATATATATATATATATATATATATATATATATATATATATATATATATCGTTTTATGTGATGTTGTATTAAAATAATACACAACTCTTGTTCGTTGAAAAGTGCTCAATATTTAAGAAATTTGTTTTGATAATATATAAATTTCATAACAGAGCGGTTTATAATTAAAAACGAAAAAAGAAAAAACTTTTATTATGGAACTTTAAGTTTCATGCCTAACGGCAATCATCAGCCATATATTACAAAATTTAAAATAGACGTTAAAATTACAATTAAAATTACGGTGGCGTGAGTTCTAATGACTCCATGGAAACAAAACTTTAAGTTTTAAGAGTATCACGTGGCGTAAAAGTGACGTAAACCAATCAGGATCAATCTGCGGTATCATAGGAGGAAATAAGAAATTTATTTTTGTGCCTACACTTCGAGATTATTTCACTCCTTGTGTTAAGTAGGTTTTTACCTTTATACATTAGAATTTGAAACTTCTCGTTCAAACAGAGGTTGCACACTCTTGATGTTGGGTTGTATGGTTTGCAATGTTTAACAATTTTCCATCTGACAAAAGGTGTAAAGTTTTTTTCTTTTAATTTCCATATTTCTTTAGATAACTCTGTATCATTTTTATATCTAATTGAATTAAAAGATTTGAGGTGGTTTGCGTATCGAACTTTAAAAGATGTCTCGCTGAGTCCAAAATACACTTTTTCTTTGTACTCCGGATTGTTTTAACAAACGGTGGCTTGATAAACAATATTGTTAGAAAGACAATTGTTGTTCATCGGACATTTGGATTTATCAATGCAGTTGCATGTCTTTTCATTAACTTTTGCTTCCTCATGTAACGTGTTTTTATTGTGAGAGTTGATAATGGATTTTATGTTTGGCATACAGGAATAACTTATTTTGATTGTGTTTCTATTAAATATTTTACGGAGTCTGTGGTTAACTGGAAAGTGGTGGTCGATGAGGTTTAAAAAACATTTACCTATTTTTGTTACAACATTTGTACTGAAAGGAGGATTATACCAAATTATTTTACGTTTATGGTTGTTGTTTGAAGATTTTATACTTGGATGGTATGCAAGTTCGCAAGTGTGTCCAGATTTTTTCAGGGATTCTTGATAAGGAGGAATACTTTCTTTAAAAATCGATTCACTTGACGATGCTGCTGATAATCTTAACTCAATGGTTTTAGGAACACTTTTTATTATACTCGGTGGGTGGTTAGAACTTGTATGTATGTAATTAAGTATATTATCTGCTTTGCGGTAGGGTTTAAATGAACCATCTTTAAAATTTAGCGTTAAATCCAAATAATTAACTATTTTCAAATTACTTTTAATGGATATTAAAAGATTGTTATTTTTAAAGATTTGTACAAAATGTTTTTTTATCTTTTCCATTACTTGACCACTTTTGTTTCTAAATATAGCTAATCCGTCATCTCGATATATACCGAAATTATTTTTATCATAAAACTGTGAGATTTGATGTAAAATAAAAATACCAACTAATTCGCAAATCTCCGCGCCACCGTTTGTTCAAACAATCCGGAGTACAAAGAAAAAGTGTATTTTGGACTCAGCGAGACATCTTTTAAAGTTCGATACGCAAACCACCTCAAATCTTTTAATTCAATTAGATATAAAAATGATACAGAGTTATCTAAAGAAATATGGAAATTAAAAGAAAAAAACTTTACACCTTTTGTCAGATGGAAAATTGTTAAACATTGCAAACCATACAACCCAACATCAAGAGTGTGCAACCTCTGTTTGAACGAGAAGTTTCAAATTCTAATGTATAAAGGTAAAAACCTACTTAACACAAGGAGTGAAATAATCTCGAAGTGTAGGCACAAAAATAAATTTCTTATTTCCTCCTATGATACCGCAGATTGATCCTGATTGTTTCCATGGAGTCATTAGAACTCACGTCACCGTAATTTTAATTGTAATTTTAACGTCTATTTTAAATTTTGTAATATATGGCTGATGATTGCCGTTAGGCATGAAACTTAAAGTTCCATAATAAAAGTTTTTTCTTTTTTCGTTTTTAATTATATATATATATATATATATATATATATATATATATATATATATATATATATATATATATATATATATATATATATATATATATATATATATATATATATATATATATATATGTAAATATATATATAAAGATTTTTAAAAAATACACTTTTATCTCATTATAACAGTATTGTCCCAATATTGGTAACCACTGTAAAAAATAATTATTCTATAAGAGTTTCTCAAATGAAATCCTATAACTGTTATATTCCGCTGTGAGTTTTTTTTTTTTTTTTTTTTTTTTTTTTTTTTTTTTTATTACATGTAAAATAAGCATTTCGTTACAATATTTCAAATACAAATATATAATAATAAATTTATATATAAATATAATGGTCGTTATTAGAAAATAAAAGAACGCCGGGACTCGTGGAAGACCATACGATCTTGTCGTCGAGTACCGCTAAGAAATGTTCGTGTTAAAATTTAAAAGATAATTTCAAGATTAAAAAATAAAAATAAGTTAACAAAAGTAAGAAACTTAAAATACTCCATAATACATACAAGATGCGTTACATCTATTATACGTGTAAATTATAGTTGTTAATGATACACATATACTTTTTATAAGTTCATGTTTAAATAAATGGTAAAAATAAAGATCGCAAAAAAAATCAGAATTATATTGTTAAATCATCGATTGTAAAAATGAGTTCTTTAAGTTTTTGTTTAAAAGAAAAGTAGTTATTTTGATTAATAAAATTCTCAGTAAAACTATTTTATTCTATAAGAATGGTCCGCGATAATCAATACAAAATTTAAAAAGATTTGTTTGAAAATTGGGCTGCTTAATAAAATTATTATTGCGTAAAATGTATTTATTTTTATCTTTTGATGAATACAAATTATGGAAAGAAATCGGGGATGAATTGGTTTTACATTTAAACATGAAACAAAGAATATTAAAAATATTAATTTGATATATATATAAAAACTTTCATTTCAAATAAAAGAGGC